TGCGTCGGGTAGCCGGTCGCGGCTCTCGATCTCCCCGAGAATACGAATTATCGGATAAAACGCTGATATAGAGCGGATGGATGGGCGTATTGTGTTTACACTGGGTCGATCGAGATTTCAGCCGGAAGATACTGCACGTCCTTTTCTTCCCCCTTCTTTTTAAAATATCAACTTACTCCCGTGGTACTTTATAATCATACGAGAAGCTTTTTACGCGATTGGCACCGTGTCAGAGTACGAGTCGACAGCGCTTTTTCTTTTTCTTTTCTTTTTTTTTACTCGCGTAGGACGTGCTTATTCCTTAAGCGAACAATTTGTTGTGATTTCATGTTTAGAAAGTTCGTTAGCACTCGACTTAAGCCAAGGACCCTCTTCTTTTTATCGTGGCTCGTTAATCTACCTGACAATAATCGATTAAGTATCGTTAATATAAGCGTGGACTTATCAATTCCAATAGATTGATAGTAATAAAGCAATAATTACGATAACAAACGGAAGCAAATGGAAAGCATCCCCATATGGCAAGCGATGATAAAATATTATTAATCAAACGAGCTAACGACTCTAACGAACGGTTCGCCATTGTTATTCGTTTATAATTATAAGATGACATGGAGGATAAGAAGACGCTCTTTTATTATTATTTAGAGGATAATATATTCCGTGCTTAAATATATTTGACATATTTAGTCTCAAATAAGTGGATTGTTAGAAATCATGCAATCTTCAATCAGAACAACGTTTATAAGACAGCATGTGTTTGTTATTTTAAAGAAGATAAATTGCCATCGTGAAACATAATGAACTTCTGGCCGCGAAATGAATGCTTGAGATTGTTGGGCTCCGTGGACGATTTTTGCGTCCTTTTTCGTACAGGGCCATGTGTACAAACAGTATTTTAGAAAGTTTCGTTTCGTTTATTCAGCCACTACCGCCTCCCGACCGAAGAATCTCAAATTTCACGAAACTAGCTACGAAGTAAATATTTGTTTATGAGACGCAATTTTTCAAATACGTCCATTTTCAATATTGTCCATGTAACATTGAAAAGAAAGTGTGCGTGACGGCGGCGGTGGCGGCGGCGGTGGCGGCGGCGGTGGCGGCGGCGGCGGGGCGGGGCGGTGGGTGTAAGAAGGATAAAAGAATTGATATCCGAATGATGACTAACCAACCATACCCTAAGGAGGCCATTTACAATTCACATTCTTATTCTTAAATAAATGTATGGCTGTGTGTCTAAAAAAGAATATAATATAAAAACTTGAGCGATATTAAATCAATATATTCTTGGAGAGAGAAAAAGTAGTCCAATATAAATCACTCGGCGCAAGTGGCTAACACCGCGTCGTCATCATACAGGCATTACAGTTTTATTAGTTCTATTTATAAAAGCACCGATAAACATAATTAGATTATATTGTGAATTTCTAGTTCATCCAGAATTGCGGGCAGTGTATGCGCCGCGTATCTGCAAATTGTGTCGTGTAGATAGACGCGTAACCTTCGGAATAGCCTGAGCTAACTTTCGCAATCGCGATGACAATTACAAGATCATCTACCACAAGGATAAAATGATATTCTTCTAAGGGAATTAAAATTTAGATTTAGTTAAAGTAAGACTTTTAAATAAAATTTATCATAAAAATGGATATTAAAAAAATCTTTTAAGATACGAAATTATCATAAGATTTTTGTGATAATTTTCTATGCCTTTCGACATCTCTCCTCCTCAAGTATCCTGCTTAATTTATCTGAAAAATAAAAACTTACCGTTCCTTACATTACGCGCAGTTTTTATTATATTGTCTATGGACATTAGGTTGCATGGAAAGCTTTCACTATTAAAAAGTATTATAACGCTTACACGCCATTTAAAAAATAGTCCTAATGCACACGAATATACGCGTTAATTATTAAAATGATGCCGAAATGA